CACGTCCAACTTCTTCATTGTATGTCACTAAGCTATTATTTCTAACTGCCTCTCATGGTTTTTCACTAAGCTGGCATATCCATCTACCTCATGGTATCTCACTAAGCTAGCACACCCAACTGTCTAATGATATGTCACTAAGCTAGCACGTCCAACTGCCTCATGGTATGTCACTAAGCTATTATTTTTAACTTTGCCTCATGGTTTCTCACTAAGCTACCATCTCCAACTGCCTCATGGTTTCTTACTAAGCTAGCACTTCCAACTGTCTCTCATGATATGTCACTGAACTGACATGTGCAACTGTTTCATGATTTCTCACTAAGCTAGCTCTGCCTCATGGTTTCTCACTCAGCAAGCATGTCCAACTGCCTACTGGTTTCTAACTAAGCTAGCAAGTACAATTTCCTCATGGTATCTCACTGAGCTGCTCGTCACGCCAGGCCCGGGTTCGATTCCCCACATGGGCACAATGTGTTAAGCCCATTTCTGGTGTCCCTCGCCGTGATATTGCTGGAATATTGCTAAAAGCGGCGTAAAACTAAACTCAGTCAGTCGGTCAGTCTCACTGAGCTAGGATGTTCAACAGCCTCATGGTATCTCACTGAGCTAGCATGTACAACTGTCTCATGGTATCTCACTGGCTAGCAGATACAACTTCCTCATGGTGTCTCAATGAGCTAGCATGTCCAACTGTCTCATGGTTTCTCACTGAGCTAGCATGTTCAACTCTCTCATGGTTTCTCATTGAGCCAGCACGTCCAACTGTCTAATGATATGTCACTAAGCTAGCATGTCCAACTGCCTCATGGTATCTCACTGAGCTAGCATGTCCAACTGCCCTATGGTATCTGACTGAGCTAGCATGTACAACTGCCTCATGCTATGTCACTGAAATAGCATGCTCAAGTCTGTCATGGTATCTCAGTGAGCTGCCTTGTTCAACTGCCTCATGATATCTTTCTGAGCTAGCTCCTCCAACTGTTTCATGATATCTCACGGAGCTAGCATGTACAACTGTCTCATGGTATCTCACTGAGCTAGCATGCTGAACTGTCTCATGGTATCTAATTGAGCTAGCATGCCTAACTGTATCATGGTATCTCACTGAGATGCCTTGTTCAACTGCCTCATGGTATCTCATTGAGCTAGCACGTCTAACTGTATCATGGTATCTCATTGAGCTGCCATGTTCAACTCCCTCATCGTATCTCACTGAGCTAGCTTGTCCAACTGCCTCATGATATCTCACTTAGCTAGCAAGTGCAACTGTCTAATGATATGTCATGAGCTAGCTTGTCCAACTGTCTCATGGTATCTCACTAAGATAGCATGTACGACTGCCTCATGGTATCTGACTGAGCTAGCATGTCCAACTGCCTGATGGTATCTCACTGAGCTAGCATGTCCCACTGTCTGATGGTATCTCACTGAGCTAGCATGTCCAACTGCCTGATGGTATCTCACTGAGCTAGCATGTCCAACTGCCTGATGCTATCTCACTTAGCTCAAGTGCAACTGTCCTGAGCTGGCATGTCAACTGTCTCATGCTCAGGCTAGTATACAACTGTCTGGTGTCTCAATGAGCTATGTCCAACTGCCTGATGGTATCTCACTGAGCTAGCATGTCCAACTGCCTGATGGTATCTCACTGAGCTAGCATGTCCCACTGTCTGATGCTACTGATAGCTTGTTCAACTACCTCAAGGTGTCTCACTAAGCTAGCACGTCCAACTTCCTCACTGTACTTCAGTAAGCTATTATTTTTAACTGCCTCATGGTTTCTCACTAAGCTAGCATCCCCAACTGCCTCATGGTTTCCTACTAAGCTTGCACGTCCAACTGTCTCATGATATGTCACTGAACTGGTATGTGCAACTGTTTCATGATTTCTCACTAAGCTAGCACTGCCACATGGTTTCTCACTCAGCAAGTATGTCCAACTGCCTACTGGTTTCTAACTAAGCTAGCATGTCCAACTGCCTACTGGTTTCTCACTGAGCTAACATGTTCAACTTCCTACTGCTATCTCACTGAGCTAGCATGTCCAACTGCCTCATGGTTTCCCACTGAACTAGCATGTTCAACTGTCTAATGATATGTCACGGAGCTAGCATGTCCAACTGCCTAATGTTTTCTCACTAAGCTAGCACGTCCAACTGTCCCATGATATGTCACTGAGCTAGCATGTTCAACTGTATCATGGTATCTCACTGAGCTAGCATGTTCAACTGTATCATGGTATCTCACTAAGCTGGCATGTTCATCTGTCACATGATATGTCACTGAGCTAGCATGTTCAACTGTACCATGGTATCTAATTGAGCTAGCCTTTCCAACTGCCTCATGGTATCTCACTGAGCTAGCATGTCCAAATGCCTCATCGTTTCTCACTGTGCTGCCTTGTTCAACTGCCTCATGATATCTCACTGAGCTAGCTTGTCAAACTGCTTCATGATATCTCACTGAGCTAGTATGTGCAACTGTCTAATGATATGTCACCCAGCGAGCTTGTCCAACAGCCTCATGGTATCTCACTGAGCTAGGATGCTCAACAGCCTCATGGTATCTCACTGAGCTACCATGTACAACTGTATCATGGTATCTCACTGAGCTAGCATGTCCAACTGTCTCATGGTATCTCACTGACCTAGCATGTTCAACTGTCTAATGGTTTCTCACTGAGCTAGCACTCTCTAACTGTCTAATGATATGTCACTAAGCTAGTATGTCCAACTGCCTCATGGTTTCGAACTAAGGTAGCATGTGCAACTGCCTCATTGTTACTTACTAAGCTAGCAGGTCCAACTGTCTAATGATATGTCACAGAGCTGGCATGTTCAAGTGTATCATGGTATCTCACTCAGCTAGCATGTTCAACTGTCTCATGATATGTCACTGAGCTAGCATGTCCAACTGCCTCATGGTATCCCACTGAGCTAGCATGTACAACTGCCTCATGGCATGTCACTGAGCTAGCATGCTCAACTCTCTCATAGTATCTCATTGAGCTAGCATGGCTAACTGTATCATGGTATCTCACTGAGCTAGCATGTCTAACTGTATAATGGTATCTCACTGAAATGCCTTGTTCAACTGTCTCATGGTATCTCATTCAGCTAGCATGTCTAACTTGAACATGGTATTTCACTGAGCTGCCTTGTTCAACTGCCTCATGGTTTCTCACTAAGTTAACACTGCCTCATGGTTTCTCACTGAACAACAAGCATGTGCAACTACCTACTGGTTTCTCACTGTGCTAGCATGTCCAACTGCCTACTGGTTTCTCACTGGGCTAGCATGTTCAACTTCCTACGGTTATCTAACTAAGCTAGCATGTACTACTGCCTCATGGTATCTTACTGAAATAGAATGTTCAATTGCCTCATGGTATCTCACTGAGCTAGCATGTCCAACTGCCTCATCGTTTCTCACTGAGCTAGCATGTCCAACTTCCTCACGGTGTCTCACTAAGCTAGCACGTCCAACTGTCTCATGATATGTCACTGAGCTAGCATGTTCAACTGCCCGATGGTATCTCACTCAGCTGGCATGTTCAACTGTCTCATCATATGTCACTGAGCTAGCATGTTCAACTGCCTAATGATATCTCACTGAGCTAGCTTGGCCAACTGCCTCATGATATGTCACTGAGCTAGCAGGTCCAACTGTCTAATGATATGTCACTGAGCTAGCGTTTCGTTTCTAACGAAGCTAGCATGTTCAACAGCCTCATGGTATCTCACTGAGCTAGCATGCCCAAATGCCTCATGGTTTCTCATTGAGCTAGCATGTACAACTGTCTCATGGTATCTCACTGAGCTAGCATGTCCAACTGTCTCATTGTTTCTCACTGAGCTAGCATGCCCAACTGTTTAATGATATGTCACTAAGCTAGCACGTCCAACTGTCTCATGATATGTCACTGAGCTAGCATGTCCAACTGCCTCATGGTATGAGCTATCATGTCCAACTGCCTCATGGTAGCTAGCATGTTTAACTGCCTCATGGCATCTCAGTGAGCTAGCATGTCCAACTGCCTCATGGTATCTCACTGCGCTAGCATGCCCAACTGCCTCAACTGCCTCATGGTGTCTCACTAAGCTAGCAGGTCCAACTGTCTCATGATTTCGCACTGAGCTAGCATTCTCAATTGTCTCATGTTATCTCACTGAGCAGCCATGTTCAACTGTCTCATGATATGTCACTGAGCTAGCATGTCCAACTGCCTCATGATATGTCACTGAGCTAGCATGTTCAACTGCCTCATGGTATGTCACTGAGCTTGCATGTTTAACTGCCCCATGGTATTTCACTGAGCTGGCGAGTCGAGCTGCCTCATGATATCTCACTGAGCTAGCATGTTAAACTGAATTCTCTTGTTTGCAAGAAAAAATCAGCTTAAGTCCGGACCAATACAAATAGCCATCCCACCCACACACACAGGGACGCGCGCCTTTATGGCGATAAGGCCACAGATGTGCAGACGCGGTCATCTTAATACTGAAATCTTTGTTTGGCATTTTTATTTGAAACTGTACCGCAAAATGAACGTGAAGGAGTTAACATTCTCCAACTGGATGCACTTCTGGAGCATCTTAACTTAAAACACACAATTTTGGTGCAAGGTCAGATTTAGGTCAGATTTGCAGAAGTTAAGATAAATTGTTTCAAAGCACTAACATTGCAAATGTTTAAGTAGCACAAAACGGTACACCTGTAACGCATGACTTGAATACATGTCACTCAACAATAACCTTATTTTCACTTGTGACATTATATTCCGTAATCACTCTTAGATAGTTTGTGATTTCATAAATGCACCCCCTTCCCTCTACCCCGAGCCGTATCCCTGCACCCCCTGTCCCGTCACTTATTCAAATGTTGCTGTCTGTCACCTATCCAAAGCTAACCATATACGAGTTTCGACTTGCTCTAGGGCACACCTCATCTCCATTTGTCCAATCAGGACGCACAATCTATGAACGTGGTTCATTCATAACATCACACACAATATACCAGCATTGTTGACTTCCCTCAGATGTGTTTCCGACAAGGATGAAAGTACTGTCTTGGTTGGCTTTTCTATGGGCTTTCAGTGTATCCGATGGAAGAAAAGCATGTTCACCTGGAAGATATTGGGACTCTGGACTGGATAAGTGTGATCTATGTTCTTCTATATGTGACTTTATGGAACAACAAGGAACTGCCAAAGCATGTCAAGAAAGTTGTCCTGGTCAGTAACATTTAATAACGGTAATTTTCAACGGTATTTATTTGATTCATGTTAATTACGTATATACTCCTCATTGACGGTTTCGTAGCATGGCACTTAATGATAAGAGTGGAAATGAAAACCACGTGTTTGCTGTCAAAACATGGCGGTCAATGGACGAGAGAAAAGCTGACATATTTACAGAAAGGGACATAACTCAGGAAGGACTATTGTCACTATAACGATGCAAAATCAACCAGCTCTATTGTGTAATATATGGTTTAAGCATTTTAAAAAACGTTTTATTTATAAAATCATTTTTGTTACGTATGTTATCATATTATATTATAAAAGATAAACCTGCGAGCGTGTTGCTGTCCTTGCACCATGACTAAGATTCAGTTTAAATATACCCTTGTAAACATGTTTCAAAGAGCAAACATTAATCATAGCTGTATTCAGTGAGCACGCTTATGGGTTCACGTAGGATGTTTGGCCAGTAGAGAATAGGAATTATTCTCTATGGCGGAAATTTATTATCTGTTATATATATTTCATTACAGATTACAAATCGGTGGCTGATGCAAATCAAGCGAATGAACAATCAATCGTTAACGGTACAAGCATGATTGTGCCAGTGGTTGTATGTGCCATTGTTGGTGTGATCTGTAGTATTATTGTAGCCGGGTTTCTCCTTCGTCGGCATCGTCAACGACACACTGATGCACCATCTGACGAGCCCACCCCACAACCGCCACCTCTACCTCACTCATCAGTAACATACGTGGCTTTACCTATTCATACTCAGACGGAGGACACTGCAACATCTGCCTCGTCTATAGGTACGTCATTAACTACGACATTTGACAAGATAAGATCACAACTTTCTAAATGAAGTAAAGGAATGTTATTTTTTACAACGAATTGGTAAGATGATATATGTTGAAATGTCGACAGAATTTGACAAATTGAATAATGATATCAACATAGAATGTCAACTTCTGTCAAGCGATATACTAGTCATGACGTCACAATGGATAATTGCTATGACGTCATGCTCAGTAACAACAATGATTTAACAAGCATGTTCAGATATATGATGCTTAACCAAAAGATAGTTCATGATACATGCCAGGAGGGCGAAAGCTTGAGGTTAATAATTTACTAAATAAGTAAATAATTTACCGTCTTTTTAATTTTTTTACATATCTTTGTTTTTATATAGATTGTAGTGGATAATGCCTAAACATGTTTAAATACAACATTCGGTGTGTTTTTGTCTCCATAGGAGCATCTGCAGACCGACGGGAAGGCATAGAAGCGAATTTAATGGGTTACCCAGACCTTCCAGACCGATTTGAACCAATCGGTGACGACATCTCACCACGCTGATGAGGACTCTGACCAGGATGGGATACATTTTAATTGGTGACATTATTGACTTGGTCATAACACAGGATGATGGAACAGATTCAAGATTCCGCTATTGTGCATGCTGCTATCAAGCTGATCTTCCAGTGTACAGGAAAGTTTTTAGGATTAATTCGTTTGGTAGAAACATAAATGTATTCTCAAAAATAAATTGCAGCCACAGTCGAGATAGATTTAAAAGAACCCAATATATTACACAATGTATGGACGTCTGTGGTAATATGTGTGAATAGAGACATTATGTTAAAGTATGTGTTTGTTGACATTTGAATGAATGTGAAGTCTTTGTAAACGTTTAAATAGTGTGTATCATCAGGCTGAAAGGTTCGGGAGTGCATTTGATAGGCGACTTGGCGTATGATCAGAAAGAGATGTTTGCTTTTGTATTTTAATGTTTCTTTTCATGAACAATGCCAAGTGGCATTTGATTCTCGTTCACAGGAAGTGTTTTAGAAATATTCTTAATTTTTGTGTATGTATTTATGTATTCTTTTGATTTTTAAACAAAAGCTGGTAATCATTTAAAAGGATGTTATACCTTCATTCCACAACAGTTACAGTAATGCTAGTGACCAAAACTGCATTCAAAATCTATTTTGATACCGTGTAACTACATAGTATTTCTAACTTTTCTACAAATTGTGTAAAACAACATGTGTACTTTTGTCCTATTTACTCTTTACAGAAAAATGGTTGGTTTGTTGTTTAACGCTACTCTCAGCAGTATTCCAGCTATAAGGCGGTAAATAATCGAGTCTGGATCAGACAACCCAGTGATCTACAGCAGGAGCATCGATCCACACAATTTGGATGCGATGTTTGCAGAAAATGATTTAATGATGTTAATTGCACAAACCGTTATGGCATGAGAAAGTGATTACAAACAAATACACTTCCCAATCAAAATAACAGACGAAGGGCAAAAGGGGCGACGCACCTCCATTTCCATGCAATATTGATACAGCTTTAGTCAACTGCATTTGTTCAGTGCTTTTCTATTGCACGGTTAGGTATATGTTCTTATAATATATTACATGTTCAATCGTTACATTTGTCATTGTCATATATCATTATATCACTCGTTAGATATAAAAATAAAAAAATAAAATAAACAGACTCTATTGTCTTATTTTGCAGTTGAAAAAACCCAAACAAATCGGTTACGTTTCCTTCAATCGTGTGAGTCAAATATACTATAATGTAGTGTCTGAGATATGCCATTTACAGTTGAATGTACCTAGGCCGTTACGTCACTGTAAGTAGGTAAGAGCGTATTATCAAGTACAATACCTCAGTAGCGGGTCAGCCAAGTCATTTGAGACTTCCATTCACTCTGACAAGACGACCAACCGCATTAGTGGCTTCAAACTTAATCTTGAACGACAGTATTTTAATGATGGGTCTCGGAAGTAGTCTTATTGTCATAATAGTATTATTCAGTGTTAGAGGATATGAGTTTTGCGATATCGGCTCATATTTTGACCCAGTAATTCATAGGTGTGATTTGTGTAGTAATATATGTGATAACATGGATTCAACGAATACCTATGAGGACTGCCAACGTAACTGCCCAGGTAGGTAAATGCTACATTAAATAAAAGTCATAAATATATCAAACAAAACGAACGTCTAACGTAATGTTCTAGAACTCTGAAAACTAAAATAGATATTTCATTGTCGTCAGTTCATGCATATTCATGAACTATATATGATCGGCCAGTTCAGACCAGATTCACTGAATCCATAACATATGGTATCCATGATATAGAAGGCAATGCAACAGCCGAAAAGAGGAGATACATTCTTGAAACAGACATTCATTTCTATCAAATGACTAAAAAATATTATGACTTGATGATTCCTGAAAATGATTCCATTGTAACTGCAAGATATGTTGGGAGTGGGGTGGATATAAAAGGGTGTCCGGACAATAGACTATATTTGAGAACTATATCTTAGTTGTGCTAGATCGCATACTGATATGGACATAATATTCTTTTTATCGGTCGTTTTGGTTTAGAAAAAACATACTTCCTGGTCGACATTAATGCCCCAGTCACACATAGTCCTCACCCCCATCCACGTGTGCATAGACGCAGTTTATGTACCTGTGATGCTGCAACATTTTACCTGAAAGTACATGGCGGCTGCGGTTATATTTGTACTTACTGAACATTGATCTTCAAAGTCGTAGCTGTGCAGATGGGTATTTATCCCGCCTAACGCCATTTTGCTTTCTAAAAGTAGGCTATCCGACGCAGGTCACAGTCTGGCAGTCGTTAGATAATATGCCGGGCCTTTCAAAGCAGACAAATGTTTCGCTACGTTAGGTTTTGAACTCATGAGATGCGGGCGTTACAGAGTTAACTATAAAGTTCTGTACATTTTGATGTTGTTCATAAGCGCATATTATAAGTGTTACACATATTTTATTCTTTCTTTAAATTAATAATTTGTATACATATTTGCGGGACTGGGAGTGTGTGGAGAGAGGGAGGGTGGTGGACGAGGAGGAGAATACATGTATAACCTCAGTACACGGTATATTCTGTTGTCAAGATTGCTGAAGATGTGGTTGATGTGATATTTGAAGGGGTCAATAATTGTAATTAGCGACTTTGTACGTAATATTACGTCTTCAGGTCGATACGGAATGGAGCGATAAGGAAGCATAGTGATTAAGGCCCTGTTATGATTCGCACGGGTAAAATGTGTGAAGCCCAATCTTAATCAGCGTTCGAAAATTAGGCTCGAAGCCGAATGAAACCCACACAGGCTCACAGCTTTGGTTTTCTGCAGGTGCTTATGGCTCTGTTTGTTGTGAATTACTTATACGGTAGCTAGAATATACGCCTGCACATTCTGATCAGGACCCACAACTATTTCTGGTTCTGGGACCTTAGGGCCTGCTGCCTTTCGAGGTTAGGGGCAAACACTGATCTTGATTCCTCTTCTGTGATATCACTGTAACTTTTGGCGGCGTTAAACCATAATAACCACAATCAGTGTGTGGATGTAAACCAGCGAAATACAGGATACATGTTATTGTCTTTATTTAGATTACGGTAAAGCGAAAGGGTGTTCGGACGATCAATACTACGACCAGAACGTCGGGAGATGTGACTCGTGTGCGGAGCTCTGTCACGGAGAAAACATTCAAGACACAACGGAAGAATGCAAAGCCAAGTGCCCCAGCTGTAAGTCATCTGCATAAATCGAACAAACCAATAAAACCACCAAAGCACCAGCTAATTACACATCAGGAAGAAATATTCCTAATATATACTTCCCATCAAAAGTTTAGACTCACAAGTGTAAATATAGCCACTTACTTCAAGCAACAATACTAAACTAGATTTTGCAAAATATTCCATACTGTTTAAAGGTACTGTTTACACATGAACTGATGCATTGTAAAACAACTTCGTAATGTTGAAATCATTATTGTAATGAAAATAATAAAACTCTGTGAAAATTCTTAACAAAACTTTACACCAAACGCAGCTGTTCACATGCACGATATTTGCACATGTTTTTCAACAATTTGATGCATGATCCTCGTGCAATTAATCGGCATAAGGTTTGCAGTTGGTTCCCCCACGCTAGTGGAGCAATCTATCGTCGATGTAACCATATATATATATATATGTATATATGTACATTGTGACGTTATGACAAAGTGACGTCATATCATATCTATTTAACTGTAATCACTTCTCCCTGAAGATAAAATTGAAACATGTTGGAGAAGATCCGTGTCGTGTGATTATTTCAGAAACTTCTTCTTATATATGTACTACTGTACGCTCGGTATTCTCATCACTTTCTTTCTTTATATATATACACATATAGTGAGTGTTTTAAGTGAGTCTAAACTTTTCATGGGAAGTATATATGTAGAACACTGAATAATTTGGTTAGTTGTTTTGATTTTTAACGCCGCACTCAGCAATATTCCAGCTATATGGCGGCGGTCTGTAAATAATCGAGTCGAGTCTGGGCCAGACAATCCAGTGATGAACAGCAAGAGCAGTTGGGATGCGATGACATGTGTCAACCACGTCACAGAGTCTGATCTACATGGGTAAGAAAAATTGAACAAAGGTATCGCTTTAGAAGGTAATACATGTAAACTGAAAGCATTATGTTTTATCTGTACTGTGTAGAAATGTATATACATGTACACAGAAACATACCTTTAATATTATTTGAAACAATGAAGAATTTCTTTTAAAATAGTACAACACCTCTCATATCTTCCGCATCATAGACCTCCAATAATTCATGTATATTTATGTGTGGGAGCCTATGCCACAATTATTGCATCTGTGTATAATGATCTCACTAATACCTTTGAAACACAACATCACCGAAGCTTTAAACAAATATTACAGTTCACCGTGGTGGACCTGGTTCTGGTTCAGGAAGGTCGACGGGGCCAATTATTGCAACAGCAGTGACATGTTCCATCACCGTTATGGCAATTGTCATAGTTCTTCTACTTTGCCGGACCCAGCGTCTCCCATCAGTCTTACAGAGGTGTCGCCTGTATCCAGGAAAAGGCTATACTCAACCACAACAGTGCAGCGATGGAAGCGATACTTCAGGATCTAACTTTTCTTCCGTCAGTAAGTACTTTCCTCTGTTTTAACTGGCAATTACTCAAAGATATCCCTCTACTGGGGACAGGGGATGTATGATGTACAGGGAATTTACTCAACTCATTGTCTTCTTATCTCTCATACAGGTCCAAGGGTATATCAGATTAATCAAGATTAATTAAGTCTCATTCACATCATAGTCACTGCTCCAACAGCCCCATCCTCCATACTTCAGCCTTATCCCCCATACTTCAGCTTCATCCCCATACTTTAGCTTCATCCCGAAACTTCAACCTCATCCCCCATACTTCAGCCTCATCCCCCATACTTCAGCTTCATCCCCATACTTCAGCCTCATCCCCCATACTTCAGCTTCATCCCCATACTTCAGCTTCATCCCCAAACTTCAGCCTCATCACCCATACTTCAGATTCATCCCGTACTTCAGCTTTATTCCCCAAACTTCAGCCTCACCCATCCTTCAGTCTAATCCCCATATTTTGGCTTCATCCCCATACTTCAGCCTCGTCCTCCATACTTCAGCCTCATCCCAATATTTCAGCCTCATCCTCCATACTTCAGCTTCATCCCCCATACTTCAGCTTCATCCACAAACTTCAGCCTCACCCATACTTCAGCTTCATTCACCATACTTCAGCCTCATCCCTATACATCAGCCTCATCCCCCATACTTCAGCTTCATCCCCATACTCCAGCTTCATCACCCATACTTCGGCCTCATTCCCCATACTTCAGCCTCACCCATACTTCAGCTTCATTCCCCATACTTCAGCCTCACTCATACTTCAGCTTCATCCCCATACTTCAGCCTCATTCCCAATACTTCAGCTTCATTCCCTATAAGGACATCTCTTGAAAAAGAAAAAACACTCAACAATCATGTCTGTGTTAAAAGGACAACAATAAAAAGAAGACAGCTTAGCAGCTTAAATTAAGAGACTTCAGAGCTCCTTAACACTAGAGGGTCCCCACATCAACTGATTGTATTACAGTTACCTTTTGTGTGAGACTATTTTACAGTCAAATGGTCATATGTCCTTTCAGGTGACGTTCATCCACAAGTAACTGATGCCACTGCAGTTGTCATGACAGAACAAGAGGGGTTTCCTGATTTACATACACAAGCTCGTCATAGTATAGTGGATGTTCTTATACACTAAGGCACACCAGTGAACCATGTCACGCTGACCAGTCTCTGACAAGTTACGGTGACGGTCCGCACATCAGCCCTCTGAAACCAGTTGACCTCTAACCAGGTTGAGATTGGTCAAATGCGACATGGAAGGGCTGCACTGAGAGGCATTGTTCTGATCTCTCGTCCAGATGATCAGATTTGAAGAAAAATGCCAGTTCAGACAGCAGGGGCTGTAATAAAGGCGAACCAGACATACACATTAGCTTCAGAAAAGAAGTTTTTGACGTGTTATGTCCCAAATGTCCAAAATATATGATACTTTACTAATATTATAAATATTTGAACAGGACATCACATGAGAGACAGGTGTTACCTCTCATTTGGACCACCGAGAAACCAAGTCATCTGAAAAACGTTTTGACACTTAAAAAGAGACGAATCTAAGAATCTGCTATATGCAGCATTGAAAGAACCTTATGTATCGAAAGTTTTCGCAAATTCGATTCAATTTTCAACTCTTTGTACGTCCATTGCTGATTTGTCATTTGAGCGGTGACTCCATCCGTGAGGATCTCAACACTCAATTTATAACTATACCTTAGCTTTGTTGTATTCAACATTGTTTGTGTTTGATGTTGGCTGGCTTCATATTTAATTCAAATTACTTTAGCAGCAGATGCAGCTGATATACCTGAGCTGTTCTTTCTGTACATTTGTACATATGCTCGCCCAATTGTTATATTATTATGTTTTGGAATTATGGGACTGGTGTCATTGACATTTACCCAATATACAAAATATTAAGACTGTATAAATTTGTAAATATATTTTGTGGGCAAAATAAAATATTTGTTCCTTAACAACTCTCTGTGTCTTGTGTATGTCATCCAATAGGATAATAACTGTGTTTTATTAATGCCTTGTTGACTTCATGTACTCGTACTAAAAGGAAAGAGGAGCTAATTGACTTTGCCTTTGCGTGTGTAGTGGCGGTTTTCATTGGTTGGATAAAATACGGTAACCGTCTTACGGGTACCTGATATCATCACTGGTTTATGGCGATTCAATGACACATGCTTCCTGTCGGACATTTAGACATCAAACGATGGAACTGCTGAAATAGTGCCCGAAACATCTATCTCTCTCACACGCACATACACTGTAACAATTATTCAAGGCACATACTTCTCGTCGGAAATTTCCTGGAGCTGCCTTTGCCGTCACCATGAACAAGACTCCTTAAATACAGTTTCATATCATTACGTTATCTCGGTGTATTAATGATCCAAGCGAAATAAGAATGTTCTCAAAACTAGATAACAAAATGATGTACACATTCAATTTCCTTCATTAGAAAGATATGGAAGGACAAACAATGGCGTGAGATTTTCAAATAAACTTTGTAGGTGAATCCCCAAATAAGCATAGACATGCCTCATTGGCAAAGGAAAGAGCACTGATGTCTGACATATATTTCATGTTTTAATGACATATTACTCATTCCACATACAAATGACTACATATATGACCTTTAAAACAAATGATGCCTTTATAAACCCAAATATATACCAAAACGTGATTACATCAGTGTGCTCAAACGTCCTTCCACAGAATGGGTGTGCACGATTCCACACTACTGAAATGAATATATAAGCAACTAGTACTGAAATACCAGTGTATTTTTTCCGCACCGATCCTCTGTTAGGAATCTGTTGAAAGTCTGAAGGTGTTAATCGCGCATGCTGCTTGTCCCAAAATGCCGATTTGTAGATTGTGTGGAGGCAAGGTTCACGAACACGTTTTATTACCATAGTTGTCTTGGTGACAGTCACGATTTCAGTCACTGGGGTACGTAAGAGCTAAAAATAGACTAAAAGTTGAGTTGCTTGGCAGTCTTTGATAAACATAACTATAAGCGACAACCTCCACATCTCTTTCCCCATCCCCGATCTAACCCCTGACCTACGTCAAATCAGAGCAATGAACAGCAGACGTGTGTTGTCTGTGGGTATATCTCGGTCACATAATAACCAAATGACGTACACAATGAGCTGCAGTGATTTGTTATTCTATCTTACACCATAAGCCGTCGAGCTGGAAATAAATTCCCCTGCTCTTGGAAAGTGGAATTCCAGAATCAACACCAGTCCTCACTGGCTGCAAACCAGACTCACGTCCTGAAACCTGTGCATATATAATGCCTGAGTTCTCAACACTAAACCAATGCTTACGTTCGTCACGAGTTTCTAACTAAGAGATATACATACTGTTGTCAACGTAGAACTAGATTACATGTGGATTGTTCATGCAATAGATTTGGAACAGAACCAGAATATATTTCTTTATAACCATCCTTTATTGAGTCAAAGTCTTGATTTGAGCACATATTTGTGAATTTAATCGTAGCCTGGACCTGGAATAGAAAGTGGAGGTTACCCTGAGTTCCTCTTGTTTTGTCAAATGCTTTCAGACCAATGTACTATAAAAGTGATCTGATTCACAGAATTTCTTAAATGTATAATAACCTGGGTATAACATTGTATTCAAGAGATCTCGCAGCTGAAATGCTAAAAGGTAGTTATCGAGTCATTCTTTATGACTGGTAGACCTGAAGTACCACGTGACCCACGTACATTCTAACTGAATGTCTTCTGAAATCTTTCTCCGCAAGTCTGCAGAGAATATCTTCATTGTACGGACAAAACGTAGCTTGCTAAACAAACACTGCATTGGATAAGCGTTGTATAGTCGCGTGAGTTGTGTGTCAAGGTCACGGCCCAGTACGGGTTATAGTGCACAATGGAGTCACGATTTGTGAGCTCATCGCACATAATTAGCATCAAGCTTACAATAAATGTCAGGCTAAAGCGCTTTTTGTACTGCTGGTAACACGATTTCAATGAAGTAATTTTTCATAATACGTATACTGAATCTATATTGATTATATCATTCACGCTTGGTAACACCAATGTACACTCTTCAAAAAAAGAAACGCAAAATGAAATGCAAGAATGATACTTACAAATTTGTACACATATGTAAACTCAAACATTTTTTTAGGGTTGCACATTGTTTCTGGAATGTTTTAGAAGATCATGCTTGACCAAACGCAACCAAAACTGATTTTGAACGGTTTTATCAATCAGGATTGTCATGATGTGCGTGGATGTCATGCAGCACGAATATCAGGCACAATGATTGTTTCTCACGTGCAAAGCATGAGTACAGCATGTGACTATAAAAGACCCAAATGAATCTCACAATTTCATCCACGATCTTTGCAAGTACTGTACACGAAAATGGGACGTCTCAACGCTGCCGATCGAAATCAGGCAATTGGGCGATTGCAAGCTGGCGAATCAAAGAGTGAGGTGGCAAGGATCTTCAACGTTCATCCAAGCACAATAACACGATTGTGGGATCGATTTCGTCAAACAAATTCGACAAATGACCGTCCAAGATCAGGAAGACCTAGAGTCACCACACCTGCCCGAGATCGGTACATCCGGGTAACCCACCTCCGTGACCGCCATCGTACCGCCCGGGACACAGCACAAGAACAGTTTGGAGGCCGAAGAGTGTCCCATCAGACAATCAGGAACCGTCTCCGAGAAGTAGGAATACGTGCCAAACGTCCAAAAGTTGCCCCCTCCTTGACACGACTACATCGACGTCGACGAGTGAGATGGTGTAACACGGTGCTGCCATGGAACCTGGCAAACTGGAGGCGCATATGGTTTAGCGATGAATCCCGTTATCTCCTCAGGCGACGTGATGGTAGAGACCGTGTCTACAGACGACGTCATGAACGTTTTGCTCCTAACTGCATCAGACAGATGGACAGATTCGGTGGAGAGAGTGTTATGGTGTGGGGAGCGATCTCATACACCCGCAGATCGGAACTTGTGCTTGTCCAAGGCAATCTGACGGCCAATCGATACATCGACCAGATTCTCCGTCCGCACGTCCTTCACTTTGTTGACCGTCAACGGCAGCTCTTCCAACAGGACACCGCCAGGCCCCACACAGCACGTGCCACCGTGGACTTCCTTGCCAATAACAACATCAATACCCTCCCCTGGCCCTCCAGATCCCCTTTGGGATCAGATCGATAGACGGGTACGTCGACGTCGTATTCCACCACAGAATCTTCAACAGTTGTTCCACATGCTGCAGGAGGAATGGAGAAAGGATTCCACAACAAAACATCCAACGACTGTACGATCTGTACCCAGGGGTTGTCGGGCAGTGGTAGCAGCTGGAGGTGGTCATACGAGGTACTGACTTCAACACCACCTGGTGGACAGCAGTAATGACTGTGATGACTGTTATTCTCATGAAATATGGACAAGATAGCAATGCATTGCTCCACAAAATTTCATTCATGTATCTTTGTTTTCCGCTGATCTACACGTCCTTGAATAACACAAAATTTTCATTGATATTTGGGTTTTGCGTTTCTTTTTTTGAAGAGTGTATATACAAAGATGTTATAAATGTATGTCACAATGTTTTTAGTAGAAAGTTGAAAAAAGACAAAAGATTGCGTGAGAGCTAAATATAGCTTTCACGGCGGAACCCCAAATTATCTTAGCCGTTGCTCATTGGCTGAAAAATGTGGTGTGATTGCATAGTTCATGTTTCGGACGATGTGATGTTGTTTATTGCTGCTAACTGCAAAAACCTTCCTCATTTATCATTTGACTGACTGAAATACAAGACTAATTCTCAGAATAGGCATTCAGATGGTAGCCCCATTCCTTAAAATCCGGAATTCTAAATTTTGTTTTTTTTCTATTTCAGCATGAGTTCCAAGACTTTTTCTGAACCTAGAAATATTTCATTTATCGATTACAATTTCGTAACATTTCATCCTAGTTTCAAGACTTTTTCCAAGGAAGATACAATTTCTTTTGATCCTATACTTTTTATGGATGTCAACTTCTTTATTATGAAGAACACAACGTTTCAGAGTATGTACGTACTCTTTCATCAGGTGGATGAATGCTCCGATACTTTGTGATCCTCATAATATACAAGTATACAAATATCCATACAATTATCTTCCTTATGTGCATCACTTCTAAATGCCATTATTCCAAGACCTAACTGAACTGTCATGCTATATGCTTTGGTGATGAATACATCGGTCTTTAAATAATTCTTTATATAGTAAATTGCAAGACCTAGTTTTCAGAATGCACATTTCAATGTTGACCTGTGCGATACTCTAATGTAATTCGGATAATCTAGGAGCAGCGTTTGAGAAACAGCGCCGACATTTTGACTTTACTTTACTTTAATGCCCTTTCACGGTGACAGCTATTGTTGTTGCAGTTATCTCTACACCAGGAGTTCAAAGGTCAATGTGAACGTGCGTGTATTGATGCAGCTGACACTACTTTTAGCAGACATTTCTCGTAAGAAGGTTTCCGTCACATTTACGTTCATCAAATAAACCCAACGCAAATAAACGTCTTTATTCACAATAAATTAGAAATCATGTACCAAATGGTTGAAGTCAGAGAAATTCAAAATGTTGATTTTGAAAGCAGATTTAACCTGCCCCTACAAAAGATCATTATGTCAAATGATAGATCAGTTTTAGTTTCTGTTTCAGACTCTCGTGTTTTAGGATTTATTCCTCTAACGTAGTTTCAGCGATAGATCCTTGTGTTGAAGCGGATACATTTTCGGTAGGTTGGCACAATCGCTCTTTGTCATTCACGGGAATTCACGCCCACACTGTGGTTCGCTCTACTTTGAAACCCACAATATTGTCCAGATTAACGGATTGACGAACCATGAGTCAGCCATCATGCCCTCACGTTTATGACAGACATGTGGAGGAAACATTTCAAACTTAGACGCATCACAGACAAAAATACTGCCCCATGCAATTCCCAATTTGACTTGACTTACAATCCCGATTTTCTTCAGTTGGACAATTGACTAGCCTTTGTATGCGTTCCACCGATGAGGCAGTGTTGGCTCGAACAGCTGGTATAATAATTTGATTGTGGTTCATAAACGCATGCTTATGATATGGTCGGAATCATACAATTGACTCGCTTTTGTTAACTGTTATGTATATGTTGTACATACTATGGTTATTCCCAGTAGTATATATTTCTCTTCTCTGCCCAATGAATACAGTATTCAGTGAAAATAACCACACTTGAGTTGATAGTTGGAATTAAACCAGTGCATCCGTAATAACCATGATATTCAGAAACCGAGAGTTTCATAGACGTTTGCAGTTAAATGCGTGAAAGATGGATGGTGTGAGTGAGTGAGATTAGTTTTACGCCGCACTCAGCAATATTCCAGCTATATGGCGGCGGTCTGTAAGTAATCGAGTCTGGACCAGACAATCCATTGATCAACAGAATGAGCATCGATCTACGCAACTGGGAACCGATGACATGTGTCAACCAAGTCAGCGAGCCTGACCACCCGATCCCGTTAGTCGCCTCTTACGACAAGCATAGTCGCCTGTTATGGCAAGCATGGGTTGCTGAAGACCTGTTCTACCCCGGATCTTCACGAGTCGAAAGATGGATGGGCATTCGGGTAATGCATTATCTCCTCCATCCATTCATGTGGTCATGCGAACCGGCTTCCACAGGTCTGGAATGTACAGTACAATGGTGTTTCATAAATGTCAGTATTCCTATTAATGTAGCGTTCCTGTGAAATGCTGTCTTAGTGAGTGAGTGAGTGAGTGAGTGAGTGAGTGAGTTGGGATTTACGCCGCTTTTAGCAATATTCCAGCAATATCACGGCGGGGGGACACCAGGAACGGGCAAATGCTGTCTTATTTCAAACGTGACATATGATTTGATGAAAGAGGAGAGTGACGCTACCCGAAAGTTTACATTTCTACTGGTGAAGGTCGAACTCTTTTGTATTGTTGTAACATTTGGTTTGTTATATTTTTTGTTTAACGCCGCACTCAGCAATATTCCAGCTATATAGCAGTGGTCTGTAAATAATCGAGTATGGACCAGACAATCCAGTGATCAACGGCAGGAGCAATTGGGATGCGATGACATGTGTCAACCACGTCACAGAATCTGATCATCCTGGGTAAGAAAACTGAATAAAGGTATCGCTTTAGAAGGTAATACATGTAACCTGAAAGCATTATGTTTTATCTTTACTGTGTAGAAATGTGTATACATGTACACAGAAACATTCTTTTAATATAATTTGTACAATGTCTGTATTTGAAACAATGAAGAATTTCTTTTAAATTACAACTGTAGTACAACATCTCTCATATCTTCCGCATCATAGACCTCCCATAATTCGTGTATACTTATGTGCGGAGCTCATGCTACAATTATTGCCTCTATGTATAATCAGCTCACTAATACTTTAAACATATGTTACAGTTCACCGTGGGGGGACATGGTTCTGGTTCAGGAAGGTCGACGGGGCCAATTATTGCAATCGCAGTGACATGTTCCATCATCGTTATGGCAATTGTCATAGTGGTACTACTTTGCCGGACCCAGCGTCTCCATCTGTCTTACAGAGGTGTCGCCTCTATCCAGAAAAAGGCTATACCCAGCCACAACAGTGCAGCGATGGAAGCGATACTTCAGGATCTAACTTTTCTTCTGTCAGTAAGTACTTTCCTCTGTTTTACTGGCATTTACTCGCATATATCCCTCTGTTAGTAACTACGTTTCCAATATGATAATTACTCAAAGATATGAGGGAAAGGTGATGTATGATGTACAGGGAATTTACTCAACTCATTGTCATCTTATCTCTCATACAGGTCCAGGGGTATGTATCTGATTAATCAAGATTAAGTAAGCCTTATTCACATCATAGTCACCGCTCCAACAACCTTATCCCCCACACTTCACCTTCATCCCCATACTTTAGCCACATCCCCCCATACTTCAGCCTCATCCCCCATACTTCAGCCTCACCCATACTTCAGAATCATCCCCCATACTTAAGCTTCATCCCCATACTTCAGCCTCATCCTCCATAGTTCAGCTTCATCCCCATACTTCAGCCTCATCTCCCATACTTCAGAATCATCCCCCATACTTCAGCCTCATCCCCCATAGTTCAGCTTCATCCCTATACTTCAGAATCATCCCCCATACTCCAGCCTCATCCCCATACTTCAGCCTCACCCTCATACTTCAGCCTCATCCCCCATACTTTAGCTTCATCACCATACTCCAGCCTCACCCCCATACTTCAGCCTCACCCTCATACTTCAGCCTCACACCCCATACTGCAGATCCACCCTCATACTTCAGCCTCATCCTCCATACATCAGCCTCACCCCGTACTTCAGCCTCATACCCGATACTTCAGTTTCATCCCAAAACTTCACTCTCATTCCCCAATACTTTAGCATCATCCCCATATTTCATCTCGAGGTGTAAAGACTCCACAGCATGTCTGTGTTAAAAGGACAACAAAAAGAAAGAAGACAAAACAAACAATCCCACACCTCGGCAGGTAATAGCATTGTATCAGCTTAGCAGCCGAAACGAATCCCCTTTTAAATTAAGAGACTTGGGAGCTCCTTAACAGCAGAGGGTCTACACATCAACTGATTGTATTACGGTTACCTTTTTGAGTGAGACTATTTTACAGTCAAATGGTCTTATCTCCTCTCAGGTGACGTTCATCCACAAGTAACTGATGCCACTGTAGTTGTCATGACAGAGGGGTTTCCTGATTTACATACACAAGCTCGTCATAGTTTAATGGATGTTCTTATACACTAACCCACACCAGTGAACCATGTCACGCTGACCAGTCTCTGACATGCCAAGGTGACGGTCCGCACATCAGCCCCTGAAACCAGTTGACCTCTAACCAGGTTGAAATTGGTCAAATGCGACATGGAAGGGCTGCACTGAGAGGCATTGTTCTGATCTCTCGTCCAGATGATCAGATTTGAAGAAAAATGCCAGTTCAGACAGGAGGGGCTGTAATAAAGGCGAACCAGACATACACATTAGCTTCAGAAAAGAAGTTTTTGACGTGGTATGTCCCAAATGTCCAAAATATATGATACTTTACTAATATTATAAATATTTGGAACAGGACATCACATGGGAGATAGGTGTTATCTCTCATTTGGTCCACCGAGAAACCAAGTCATCTGAAAAATCTGACGAATCTAAGAATCTGCTATATGCTGCATTGAAAGAACCTTGTGTATCGAAATATTTTGAGAAAATTAGATCCAATTTACAACTCTATGTACGTCCATTGTCCATGACTGATTTGTCATTTGAGTGGTGACTCAATCCTTGAGGATTTCAACGCTCAATTTATAACTATACCTTAGCTTTGCTGTATTCAACATTGTTTGTGTTTGATGTTGGCTGACTACATATATAATTAAAATTGTTTTAGCAGCAGACGCAGAGTTAACCTGAGTTATTCCTTCTGTACATGTGTACATATACACGCCCAGTTGTTACATGTTCATGCCAATAATGGTTGTCACCCCCAGCCTAATAATTAAATTGAAGGGGGTGACAACCATTATTGGCATGAGTATATTATAATGTTTTAGAATTATACCAAATATTAAGACTGTATAAACTTGTAAATATGCTTTGTGGGCAAAATAAAATATTTGTTCCTTAACCACTCTCTGTGTCTTGTGTATGTCATCCAATAAGATAATTGTGTTGCATTAATGCCTTGTTGACTTTTTGTACTCGTACTAAAAAAGCGCCAGGTAGTGATCCAGCGAGCTTGAGGTGCCGGGATCGAGCCCACCTGTAACCAGGTGTTAAAACCTTGGAGTCAACTTTGTGTACAGACTCTTTCAATGTTGTCACAACCCTTAGTGTATAGTACACAACCCTGTGCACTTACAATAACCCACAAATCCGTTGGTATATGACCAGATGGTGGCCACATGAATACGTGCAAACATCTAGTTGAGGGTACAGCAACGTGCAGTAAACTTGGACAAAGTACTGTGACTATGTGTTCCAGTCCACCCATCTGTGAATGGGTACCTCGTAAGGATGGGAAAGCCACATTAACTCGTGGCTCCAACAGTTGTATACTCCCAAGGGAGTTGAGATTGATAATACAATGTGCCGTTGGAGATGGACATCCAATGATCGAGGGAAAAAAAAGCGTCTTCGACCAGTTGAGTCGGATATTGGCGCTATACATATATTAGCATAAAATATAAAGGAGTTACGTTGACTTGTCTTTACGCTTTTTTGTGACGGTTTTCACTGGTTGGATAAGATACGCTAACCCTCTTACGGATAAATGATATCATCACTGTTTTATGGCGATTCAAAGACACATGCCTCTTGTCGGAAATTTAGACATCAAACGATGGAACTGCTAAAAAAGTGCCCGAAACATCATTATCTCTCTCACACACGCACACGATCATACACACCGAAAACCTCCCCAGCTGCCTTTGCCTGTCACCCTGTATTACAGTGTTTCATGTCATTACGTTATTTTGGTGTATCAATGATGAAATCATCTAAGTAAGAATGGCTGTCCCTAAAACTAGATAACAAAACGATGTATCGCAAGTTCCTTCATTAGAAAGACAGGGAGGGACAAACAATGGCGTCAGATTATCAAATAAACTTTGTAGGTGAACCCCCAAATTAGCATAGACATGGCTCATTGGCAAAGAAAGTGCACTGATGTCTGACATATATTTCATGTTTTCAGTGACATACTATTACTCATTCCAGCATATAAATGACTACAATATATGATACCTTTACAAACAAATACCAAAAACGTTTAACAGTAAATGTTTTTTTGTTTTTTTTGTTTTTTTTGTTTTTTTTGTTGTTGTTGTTGTTGTTTTTTTCAAGTCAAAGTCTTTTTATTGTCTATAGGCCACAGGCCGTATACAACATATATACAATTTTCACATACATTTACACATGTATACAATAACAAAGGTTGAGTTTACAACAAATATATATGATGTCATAGTACATGGGGAAATCCTACAAAAATATATCTTACTGAATTGGGGGGTATTTTGATGCATGGTATAAATATGTGCATAATTTTCTAGAAGTGTTTCGTTATTAGTAGTTTTTTGTTTTTGGGTTTTTTTCCATCATAAGTTGTTGTACATAATGTATTATCTGATATACATTGTAAATATGTCTTATCTAACATGTGTTGTATATAGTGCCACAATTATTCTGACTTGTCATGCTGTGTCTTGTGTCACATCCAATGTGTTGTGTTATATATTGCGCAACATCCGGCTTATTGTGTTGTATATTGTGTCTTATATCCAACCTATAATATGTGTTCCCCAAAGTTACACCAGTGCCATTAACTAACTAGTCAATATATAACTAAAACAATGATAATTTTTCAAAAGGGGAAACAGATCAAGATTTTACAAAAGAAGCGATTGCTGCATACACAGGTCAGGTTTGAAATACTGGGAATAATGGATGCCATTTATTAGCAAATTTCTTCATTTTATTCTTCCTTTTGGCAATGAAGCTTTCAACAGAAAAAAATATCTTTTAAAGTCTTTATAAAGTTATCGCATTTTGGAATATTGTTTTTCAAAGAAGAGACATAGATCTGTCTTTTTGCTGAAATGATTATATGATTAAGTAATGGGTTTTTACTTAAGGAGCCAAAATACACCAAATATTTTGTCAAATTGACTTTTTGTATCAAATAAGTGTTAATCCAAATTTGAAGATCCTTCCAAAACTTCTTAGTTTCACTACATTCCCAGTAAACATGGCACAAGTTTTCATCTTCATCTTTACAAAAGCTGCATGAGGCGCTCTGGATAAGGTTCATTTTTAAAAGTTCCTTTTTGGTATAGATAATACCGTGTAAAAATTTATATTGGAACTCTAAGAGTTTTACATCATTAATGTCTTGTCTGTAAGACTTGAAAATCATTGACCAATCAAAGTCAGTATCTTCAAACACATTCTCCCATTTATGACACATATGAGGGTTATTATTGTTAAATAACAATATATCATAAAATAATCTTGATCCTTGTAATGATTTCATAAAATTCTTTTGATAGGAGTTAAGATTCATGTCATAGTTATTTATACACCTGTGATTTGTTATTGTATTTTTCCATGATTCAGGTATATTATTTAGAACATATCTATGATCTAATTCTGTCCCTTTTATTGCATATTTACTTTTTAAAGATTCAAAAGACATCAAACCTTCTTCATCACACATGTCTTTGATGGTTAATAGTCCTTTATTTGCCCAATGACTGATATAATGATTTTGGTATCTAAAATTATGATTAAACCATAATGGCTGTGCTAAAATTTCATCAATGTTGTTTTCCTCTATGGTAATGTTAGTACAATACATGTTCCATGCTTTTAAAACATCTTTCCAATATGGATTATGAATATCAGCAATATAATAGAAGTTAGCACCAAATTTCCTGATATCATGTAATGGAAAATTGCATGGATTACATATTGATGATTTTCTTAAATAAAGTCTCAAAGTGGATAGTTTCAAGGCATTGATAAAGGTTTTTATGTCGATCATTCTTAAACCCCCATGTATATAATCTTTTTTCAAGGTACTTCTCTTAATTTTGTCAGTTTTGTTAGTCCAGATGAATTTGAAAAATATTTTATCAAGGGAGGTAACAAAATCTTGGGGTGGGTTTGGTAAAGTACTGAAAATATGAACTAATTTTGACATAGCTAGTGTCTTGATAACAGTGATTTTGCCGATTAATGTTAAATGTCTTTTTCTCCACACTGCCAATAATCTGTTAATTTCCTCTAGTTTTTTCTTTGTATTGATGATCCATAGATCCTTCAGTTCAGCATTAAGTATAATTCCCAGAACAACAAATTCATTTTTTCGCCATTCAATATTCAAATCCTGACATAGTTTATCACCACAACCTGCTTTAGATCCAATCCAGATAGCTTTAGTCTTATCAATATTTATTTTAGTCCTGACATCCTATAGAAAGTATTAATTGCATCAACAGCAGAATATAGACATTTTTCTGTACCATCTAAAACAACTCAGTATCATCTGCATATTGTCCTAATTTATACTCTGTATCATCAATTACTATACCTTTGATATTTTCATTTTGTCTTATCATGCATCCAAGGATTTCAGCTACAAAAAAGGAAAAGATATGGTGATAACGGATCCCCTTGTCTACAGCCCCGTTCATTTGAAAAGAATTCTGAGAGATGTCCATTTTGAATAACACAAGAAGTTGTATTATAGGTTAGGATATTTATCCACCTAATAATTTGGGGACCAAACCCAAACTTTTTTAATACCAAATTTATAAAATCTTTAGAGACAGTACCAAAAGCCTTTTCAAAATCGATCAAAATTAATAAACCTGGGATGTCTCTTCTTTTTGTCTCAAACATAATGTCATAGAGTAATCTTGTATTTTCACTTATATTTCTGATTTTCATGTATAAGAGAGTACAGGGTTGTTTTTAACCGATTAGAAATACAAGTACTGACTATTTTATACAGTGAATTCAATAAAGTTATTGGTCTCCAGTTTTTTAAAAGGGTTCTGTTTTTATCTGGCTTGGGTATACATGTAATAACACCTCTTTTCATTGTGAAAGACATTTGATTCTTATTAAAAATTTCTTTAATAAATCTATAGATCCAATATTTAAGGTCTTTCCAAAAATATTTAAAGAAATCTATTGGAAATCCATCTACACCAGGGCTTTTGTTATTTTTCACATGTTTAACAGCCAATGTTATTTCTTCCATGTCAATATCTTTTTCTAATTTGTTTCTAAGATGGCCAGTTAAAGTGGGAGTTACCACATCTTGTAAACAAGTTTCATCCTCATATTTCCTGCCAGAAGAATAAAGTTGTTTGTAAAATGTTTTTACTTCATTTAAGATAGAAAAGCTGTCAGTAATTTCGTCATTGTTATCCGTGACAATCTTATTAATTGATTTGCTGACATAATTTCTATTTTCTAGGTTGCAAAAATACTTGGTTGGCTTTTCCCCCTCTTCATACCATAAAATTCTGTTTCTGAGCTGTATACCCCTTATTTCATCTTCTTTAATTTGTTGTAGTTCAAATTTATATTTTGCAAGTTCAGATAATAAATTTTCATCTATAGTTTGAAAGTCCTTTCTTATTGATTCTTCATAGTCTTTAATTTTAGTTTCTAATTCTGTGGTTTTATCAATTGTTTTCCTTTTTAGAAAGGTTGAAAATGAAATTGATTTTCCCCTAACATTCATAAGGAAGGTTTCTAAAAAATAAACTATCATCAATCTTAAGTTTTATATTAAGGTCATTAGCATTTTCATCATATACATCAATATCTGAATATTCTTCAACTGTGTCCTTTAATATGGATCTAACAAGTTCGCTATACTCAGGTTGTAACAATAAAGACGTATTAAATTTCCAATATCCCCGCCCTCTTTCTTGGTTAATAGTATTTGAAAAAGAGTAGGTAATAGCTGAGTGGTCCGTTTTATAGCCTGGTAGAATATCGGAATCAAGCGTAAGGTTCAGCAAATCTTGTGAGATTAAAAACAAATCCAGTCTGGCTTGTTGTCTTGGATGTTTTCTCCACCATGTAAATTTTTTCAGATTATCATTCGAA